CAGTGAGTTGTTCCTGGATGCCCGGCACCGAGGAGCTAATAGGCGTCAGGAACAGTTGCGCAGTTACAGGAGGTAATTGCACTCAGCTGGTGGTCATTAGGCTCCTCTCCAGACTATAAAAGGACTGCTTGTGCACACACCCCTCTTGCAGAAGTCAACACAGGAACTAATGCTGGAGAACATTATTGTGAGCTTGGCAGGCTGGATTGCTGCCACGGCTTATCCGTGCTGGATTGCTGCCCAAACTTGTCTGCCAGTTTGCTGCCAAGGACCTGTCTGTCTGTTAATTAAATGCCATAACTTATCTTTAGCTCAGAGTGTGTTAGTGCGGGATGAAGGGGGTCAGAACAGATGGCTAACCTTTTTGTTGTGTGCCAAAAGCGTGAGGGTGCAACATGTCATCTTCCATGTGCACCCTGCGCATGGGCTTCCCCCTAACTCTAACCCCCTATCCTCCATGTACATGTGTGAGCCCCCGCACTTACCCTACCCCCGTGCATGCATGCTTGACCCCTGCATGCCTGCGTGTCTCCTGCAAGCCCCCTGTCCATGTGCGGCAGAGACCCAAAAACCAGCTGGCTAGCGGGAGGTGCGTGCGCATGCACAATGAAACTGAGCTGGGGCAGCAGCTCACATGCCTTTGAGAGGAGGGGCTTGGAAGGATTCCAGGAAGTGCTGAAAATGGCCCCTCCCTTCCCTGGTTGCCTTTGACCAGGTACCACTAAATGCTGCCCCCCCCCCGCAGTAAATACAGGCAATCCTCTACATACAACCCCAATTGAGCCTCGCATTTCTGTTAAGTGAGGCATTTGTTAAGTGAGTTCTGCCCCATTTTATGGCCTTCCTTGCCACCGTCGTTAAGTGAATCTGACTTCCCCCATTGATTTGGCTTGTCAAAAGGTCAGAAAAAGGGGATCACATAACCCTGGGACACTGCATCGGTCATAAGTATGAACTACTTGCCAAGCATCTGAATTTTGATCACAATTGTGGGGCTGCTCCAAAGGTCGTTAAGTGTGAAAAATGATCCTAAGTCACTTTTTTTTTTGATACCGTTGTAACTTTGAAAGGTCACTAAATAAAATATTGTAAGTTGAAGATTGGTCCTGGTCTTCCCACTTGTAGTCCTACACCTTAGCCAGCAGTGATATCAGGATGCCAGAGAGGGCTGGTCCAAAGTCCAACAGAGCAGTGATGGGATTCAAAAATTTTTACTACTAGGTTCTGTGGGCGTGGTGTGGCGGGCGTGGCAGGGGAAGGATACTGCAAAATCTCCATTTCCTCCCGATTAGCTGGGACATGGGAGACAGAGAAAAGGTGGGGGTGGGGCCAGCCAAAGCTGGTATTTACCAGTTCTCTGAACTACTCAAAATTTGAGCTACTGGTTCTCCAGAACTGGCCAGAACCTGCTGAATCCCACCTCTGACTACAGAGGCTAGTAATAATATAAATTAGCCATTTTGTGGTGGGCATGGCAGGGGAAGGATACTGCAAAATCCCCATTCCCTCCCGATCAGTTGGAACTCTGGAGGCGGAGAATAGATGGGGACAGGGCCAGTCAGAGGTGGTATTTACCGGTTCTCCAAACTGCTCAAAATTTGTGCTACTGGTTGTCCAGAACTGGTCAGAACCTGCTGAATCCCACCTCTGACTACAGAGGCTTCCATGGCTGAGAGGAATACTAGATAAGTCTCCATGGTACCCTGCATCGAACACTTCAACAAGAGTTGTGGTGGCGCAGGGGTTAAAATGTAGCATTGCAGGCTAGTTCTGCCGACTGTCAGCAGTTTGACTCTCACCTGGCTCAAGGTCGACTCAGCTTCCATCCTTTTGATATGGTTAAAACGAGGATCCAGATTGTTGTGGGGCAATGTGATGACTCTGTAAACCACTCAGAGGGCTGTAAAACCCTGTGAAGGGGTATATAAGTTTAAGAGCTCTCTTAACCATGACCCCACAGTATATTTTTATTAGCCTCCCTATGTAGTAATCTTTCAAAGCCACAGAAGTCTTGAAACAAATTCCTTGTGTGTCCAATCACACTTGGCCAATAAAAAATTCTATTCTATTCCATGCCATGCCATTCTATACCATCTTCTATTCTATTCCATGTTCTATTCTATTTTTATTTCTATTCCATTCCATTCCATCTCCTATCCTATCCTATTGTTTTAAGCTTGTTTCATGTAGACGTTGTTATTCTTTTGCATAGTTTTAAGTTCATATATACCAGTATCAAAATCGTAGATGTCTGTCTCGATTAGAAATAAATAACATACACACATGTAGCCAAGTTGAAAGAACATTGGTTTTATTCAGGCAGTGGGGAGGATGGGGAAAAATATATTAACAATCAATTTATCTTATTGGAGGGAGTATAACTCTTACAAATATTTACCTGACTTGCGATTGCAAGAAGAAAAAAAGAGAGAGAAAAGAGATGCTTAGAGCCAGAAAGAAATAGACCTCAATTCACTGTGATCTGGAATTAAAATGGATCCCACAACTCCAATCAGCTGTCTAGAAATAATACAGGGAATTTTGGTGTTTTTTTTCCTCCTAAGCTTGGGTTGATCCTTGATATATGACTGACTTGGTAATGTCATTGGCTCACACGTTTGGGATACAACCTGCCCTGCAGATTTATGATGGATTATTTTTGGAGAATGTTGTCCTCTCCACTAACTCTTTTCTACGTAGAAAGAGATTTTAACATTTGCCTTCGGTGATACAACAACCCTTCAGAAATGCTGGGCTGCAAAATATCCTTGTGATACAACCTGCCCTGCAGATTTATGGTGGATTATTTCGGAGATTGTTCTGCCTTCCACAAACTCTTTTCCATGCAGAAACAGATTTTAACATTTGCCTTCAGTAATACAACAGAAATGCTGGGCTGCAAAACTTAGAAGGCTACGTAATTCTAGGCATTGCCATCACAAGATACACAGAAGAAGCCAAGGTGGCAGAAACCATTTCACACCTCAAGTTTAGAGTTCCAGGTAGACATAAGCAACCTCTTCTATTAGCACTTTCACTGAGAAGATAATCTTAAACCTATCATCTCTCCTGCAAGTTACGGGGCTGTAGCTGTGTGCTTTAAGTGGGCGAAGCTCTTTTAAGGTGTTTAGACAGGGTAAGGTGTTTCAGTTGACGGGAATGATTATGGAACAAATTGGGTTATTGCTACACAAATCCTGCAGCTTCTTTCTGGCTGAGAAGTGATCATGTGGGACTCCTACGTGGGGTGAGCAACCAATCAAGTGTTCGTCTTTTAAATGGTTTTGGAAACATTCTAGATTGGCGGAAGGTACGGCTGTAGACGGAGATTTGACAAGAATTAGCAGCCAGTCCGAGTAGCATTTTGCCACACAATGCTAGACGAGGTGCAACAGTTCTACAGACTTCAATCACACACCCGCACCCCAGCACTATATAGAACTATATCCATTATATATATATATATTATACAACACACACACCCATGCGCGCGCACACAATTTTCATATCTGAACAAACTATAATAACCATATTATAGTTAATTAATATCATTCCTTAGGAATCTTCTTTTACCCACCCTTTAGTGGCATGCTTGAGGCACAGAACAAGAGAGCATTTGGCACAGTGTGCATGTGAAGACACACACCCTTGCACAAAACACACCACAGACAAAAGTGCAACCACTGAACATCCAGCCAACAGCTGGAGGATGGCACTGAACCACGGAGCTCTGGAAGAAGACACAGGATTTTGCTTGCAAGACAACCTTGGGTTTCTACTTCCTCCTTCCTTTAGTCAAAAGTGGACAAATTGTAGCGAAGATGTGCAATTCCACACCAGTTGGGTTGGATGCAACTCCACTGAAGTTCTTGAAGGCCACAAGATTTCCAGCCCTGACTCAGCTGAAGGAGGCCATTAGTACAGCTGTTGTAAAGTGAGCAACACCATAAAACCATGATCACTTGGCAGGATCATTCTTTTGTCGGAACTGAAAACGGGTCTTCCCAAAATGATAAAACCACTCTTCCAAATGCTATTCCGCAACCAGAATCTATTGCTCGGCGATGCCAACCAAGATTCCTAGATCCAGACCCGATATGCAGTTAAGCCAATGCTGTCTCCGGTAGTGCCAGATTCAATAAAATTCCGTAGCGTGATTTTTCCACCAGACGCCGTGATACGCCAAGAGCTTTGTGTCCAAGGAATTTGGCCTGGTATCAAGCCTCTGATGGTATCTCAGCTTGGTTCAATGATGGGAACATGGCAGGTGGGCCAGTGGCGTGTGATAGCGAAGTGCAGAGCAGGATGAGTTTCAGTTAAAAGATAACCTCGTGAGACATTGTAAGGGATAAAGATTTCAGGCAAGCTTGAAAGTAGAGTTCCTACTCAGGAATGGCACAACTTCCTCAGAAATAGAGGGCTTTATATTATTGGTCAAATGCATTTCATTCTGTATCTCCAAAGACTAGAAGCTTCTTATTGGGTCCTCTGTAGATGTGCTGTGCTACAATTTCAATTATTTCCAGCCAGCGCTAGAAATTGTGAAATTTGTCACACAAAACTATGGAAGAGTGACAGCTTGGCAAAAGTAGCCCGAAGTCCTCGCAACGTGTTTGGAAGTTGCAAGATGTGAGAGATGGACCATTTTGGTAGGCCCCGGAAATGCAGTTCTTCTCTCCATGCATGATGGCTTTGGATAGTTCCCCAGTGCAGCTTCTCTCCATGCGTGACTAAATCAACAACTCATAAATGGGTGGATCTCTGGAACTCCCTTTCTACGGGAAGACTCCATGAAGGATTTAGCCCAAGTGGGATAGCCACAGAGGATCTGGGCTATAAATTCCAGCATCTGGTCACCTTTGAATCCGCAGGCAGAGGGGAAAAAACCTCCAATCTTTACTTGATACAGCTAGAGCAGTGTTTCTCAACCTTGGTGACTTTAAGTCCTATGGACTTCAACTCCCAGAATCCCCTAGCCAGCATAGCTGGCTGGGGAATTCTGGGAGTTGAAGTCCACAGGACTTAAAGTCACCAAGGTTGAGAAACACTGAGCTAGAGTATGTAAGACACCAATGCCAACATGAAACAACCAAAATGTTCACACCAGCCATCACCGAACGGCACCTTGCAGATGCTTTGCAATTACGAATCTCAATCCTGAGACCGGCGGCTCCAACATCTGGACTGGGACAACTCGGGACCTCTTTGAAGTATCGATTTTGCAAGTTCCTTAATGGACTAGTCGCTGTGGCTTCCATCCAAAAATGGAGACAAGGTGAAAAGGTCTCAAGCCTGAAAGCAAAGACCTGGCTGATAAAAACGTTTGTGGCCATCGCAAAACTCCCAGGACAATTGCAGTTCCTGGATGGATCTCCATTTTAATGACCTCAAGTGAGAGGAGGGAGGGAGTGTTCTTTGCAGGTCATTTTAGATCTTGAAATGGTATCAAATTCTCAGGGGGACCTTGGTGAGGCCCGGGAAGGAGTTTAGTCATCAGTAGTTGGCGCAAGGAGGTTGAACTTCTATTTCTTCACTTGCTCTCCATTGTGTTCCGTTCCCTGCTCTTTGTCTGGACAGAGGAAAACTGCTAAGATGAGGAATGGTTGGCAGGTGCATGTTTCTGCTGTCGCTGTGTGTGGATTTCTGTGTGTGGGTTTGTGTGTGTGTGTTTAGGGATTTCTAACAGTTGCTCTTCTCCACTCAAGTTCACTGTGCGTGTTCACTTCGGGTGAATTATGGAGCACTACGCTCGTGCTATCACTTTAAAGTGCGCTAAGGCAGGAGTCTCCAACCTTGGCAGCTTTAAGACTTGTAGACTTCAACTCCCAGAGCAAAGCTGGCTAAGGAACTCTGGGAGTTGAAGTCCACAAATCTTAAAGTTGCCAAAGTTGGAGACCCCTGCACTAAGACAAATCTCAATCCAGCTCGCTATACCTCTTTAAGAGAATTATGGTACCTTATACTAACTTCCCCATCCCAAGTGCTTTTCAGATTCCAGCATCCCAAACACCCCAAGCTGGCAGCACCACATCTGGGAGAAGCGCTAAAATGCAAAACCCTCACATCCTATGGCCCCTCAGGACTGTAAAGGCTGCCTTTAGAGCTTATAGATTTCTCGTGGCACATATTTTCAGGCCTACAAAGCTTATGGCGCCTGAAGCTCTAAGTTGGTCAGGGAGGAATTCCTTTTCTCCGTGGCTGACCACAATTTGCCAAGGTGCCAAGCTGCCAGGAATGCCAATCCATTTTCATATGGGCATTTCCCCCTGAGGAACATCGGCCTCGAGACTTTGCCCCTTGTGCTTTTAGAGGCAATCGTATTCCACTCATGTGCTTGCTGGGCATGGTACTAGTACATGCAGGGGAATATGTATTCGATTAAGCTGCATTTCTGGCCTTCAGACGGAAGCATCTGCAAACATTGCTCTCTTCTGCAGGTGACTAATGGCCCTGCTTCTTATCCGTTGGCTTCATGCAGTCAGGAGAGCCTGCAAAAATACTGAATAGGCAAGGGAGATCTAGAGGGCAGGAAAAATGGGTACAAACAGGGCAATCGTCAGTCCTCTTGCAGATGGCAGACCCTCAATACAGAAGCCTGTGCTTTTGCTGCCAAGAAAGTGGAAAAGATTATTTCTGGGGGTGGGTGGGGGGGATAAGGCAAGATGCTTGCTGGAAGATACAGATGGACAGCAGGGAGAAACCAAGTGCTCCAGATGATAAGAGCCATCAATCGGTCTTCCCCATCTTGGCAATCAGCTCATCACAGATCTTGGTCAGCTCTTCAATTTCCTGGTTCTGGAAAATAAATCAATGAATGGATAAATAAAGCCCAGAAGTGAAATGCTGATTATCCACCACCTTCTCTGATGGTGCAAAATTAGTAACCTCCCCATAATGCAACCCTTTCATGGATCAACTCCCTTCATGGATTAATTTCCTTGTCGTGGCAGCCAAGAAATTAAAAGACGCTTGCTCCTGGGGAGGAAAGCTAAGGCAAATCTAGACAGCATACTAAAAAGCAGAGACATCACCCTGCCAACAAAAGTGTGTATAGTCAAGGCGATGGTTTTCCCAGCTGCAATGGATGGCTGTGAAAATTGGACCCTAAGGAAGGCTGAGTGCCAAAGAATGGAGGCCTTTGAACTTAGGTGCTGGAGAAGACTCCTGTGAGTCCCTTGGACTGCAAGGAGATCCAATCAGTCAGTCCTAGAGGAGATCCACCCTGACTGCTCTTTAGAAGGACAGATCCTGAAGAGAAAACTCAAGTACTTTGGCCACCTGATGAGAAGGAAGGACTCCCTGAAGAAGAGCCTAATGCTGGGGAAAAATGGAGGGCAAAAGAAGAAGGGGATGACAGAGAATGAGGTGGCTGGATGTAGTCACAGACGCAGTCAGCATGAGCTTAAATGGACTCCAGAGGATGGTAGAGGACAGGAAGGCCTGGAGGAATGTCGTCCATGGGGTCACAGTGGGTCGGACATGACTTCGCAACTAACAACAACAACAAGTGCATGGACAACCCATTCTCCTGATGTTAGTTCTCCTTTGTGTACAAAATGCAACCAGATTTTACACATCCCATGTTTAGCACTATTATACTTTGTGGGAGTGTTCTCCAAGCTCAGAACTGGTTCTGCAACCTGCCATCACCTTTGAATGAGACAGAAAGAAGGACCTTGTAAAATAAAAATCTATGAAGGTCCGTTCCCCTCCCACCCTTTGAGAATTGGGAGGGGGGTTGGTCTAATTTGCAAAAAAAAATAAAAATTGGAGCTCAGTCTTTAGTATGAATTGACATAGCTGCCAAGATGAGAACAATCTCCTGTTTTCAAATTTAAATTTCATTTCTGTTTGATAAATATTTTATTTAAAGCCTTTAGGCCAGGGTGTCAAACTGGATTTCTTGGAGGGCTGGATCAGCATTATAGTTTGTCAGAGTATGGATATTCATGGACTGGAATAGATCAGCCAATGGGGACTGAATGGCGAGATGGGAACAAGGTCAGCCAATGACATAGCAACTAAGTAAGCCAATGGGAGCTTAAAAAGATCTGAGTCTGTGCAAAGAATTGAAACAGAAACTAAAGCAATCTGTTGTTCTGAGAAGTAAACTATCAGTCTGTCTGGGCTTGTCTGCTAAAATGAAACTAACTGCTTATGTTTGCCTGTAAGCTCCTGCCTTGTGTTTACTTGGAAAAATCATCTGTTGGTATTGTACATTTATTCATCTATTCTTATGTATATAAAGAAGTTAATGAATCCAGCTGAATCAGTTATCTGTGTGTGTTTTCTGGATTTGAATTTATGCAACAAACTCTGACACAGTTGTCCCTCCTGGGCCGGCTTGGGGTGGGGGAGGAGATGGGACGGATGCTGTCCTACAGCACCCTGCTGGCCAAAACAGGGGGGGGGGACTGCAGGGGTGGCCCGCAGGAAACCCCCATGTGCTCTGTTTTTGGCCTAGACAGTCTCCTGCAGCATCTTGTCAGGCAAAAAAGGGCGCGTAGGGGCCGCCCGTGCCCCCCTCTCCCCGCGCCCTGTTTTTGCTAACAGGGGCATCGTGGGCTGGTCCTTTGCTATTTCCAGGCTGGCCCCATGGGCCTGATCTAAGCACCCTGCAGGGCAGATCCGATCCATGGACCTTGAATTTGACACCACTGATTTAGGGAGACAATTGTGTGACTTCTGCAGATCTTTTCCATGAATATGACCTTTTCAAATGCCTCATTTTGCTGCAATTAGTAAAACTGCACACTGATATAGATTGTTTGCATTTGAAAGACGGCTTGTGTTGCTCTGCATTTATTCATGTGATACATTAAAACAAGAACTGTAGATGAAAAATACAGCAACCCAGCAGTGGTTTAGAAATTAAAGCAGTTCCCATCTAAAGTTTTGGATGAATGCAACTGCGTTCCTCGGTGAGTGAGTGATAGAGCAAGTTTCTTAATAATTAAGTAAATAATGGTAACCTGTGCCTCCTTGGCTCATTGTTTCAGAGATATTTCCTTAGCTAAATAGAGAAATTGACTGACCAAGGGTGCCCAAAAAGCAGTGATTCTGATTCTGAATCTGATTCAGTGAAAGCAGGAGCAACTTTCGACTTCCTGCTGGCTTCCCCATTGAATTTCCTCGTGGGAATCTGCCAGGAAGCAATGGAAATCTCTCTCTTTTGAGTGTTAATTTGTTTGACGGACACAACAATACACATGCATATACACAAAAGCTAAGAAGAAGGAAAAACATGTGAGTAATTCAACCCCTTTAGGTGTGCATGAGGTGGTCCAGTCCCATCAAGGCTGAATGTTTGAACTACAATAGTCACCGCTTTCACCCAATTCCCGGAGAAACGTAGAGTGAACTTCAGACAATCCTCCAGCAGGAAAAGCAAATGAGAGAGATGAAAAGGGATGAGGGAGAATCACCTTCTGCTGGAGGCTCCTTTCAAGAGAATCGACCTTCATTTGTTCTTTTCGAAGTCCGGCATGGAGAGCTGCACTCTCAGATTTGGCCTTAGTACGGACCTGAGCAATTTCTTCATTGGCTCTGGAGCAAAGGTAAGGGGGGATAGGAGTACAAAAAGAGAGGCAGAGAAAGGGAGAGGGAGAGAGAATGAGTATAAAAATAAATTCTATAATTTATTGAATACAGTAGTACCTTAGTACTCAACTACTCCGAAACTCCTTGAATTTGGTACTCAACATATTTTGATGTGAACATTTTTGTCCTGGTACTCATTGTTTGGTACTCAAGGCACAAGCTAGAATTTGTGTTGGCTGCTTTGTGACACAGTGCATTATTCCTTATGGGAAAAAGTTTGTTTGATACTCATTGTTTTTAGTACTCATCCTGCCTCCTGAAACCAATTAATGATAAGTACCAAGGTACCACAGTACAGGGAGTCCTCAACTTACGGCCATTTGTTTGGAAACGTTTAAAGTAACAACAGTGTTGGGAAAAGTGACTTAAAACTGGTTCTCGCGCTTACAATTGCAGTGTTTCCATGGCCAAGTGACCAAAATTCGGGCCCTTGACAACTGTAGCATCCTGGGGTCACATGGCCACCATTTATGACCTTCCCAGCTTTGTTCCAACAAGCAAAGTCAATAGGGGAAATCAAATTCATTTATTGACCGCAGCAAAAAAAAAAAAAGGTTGCAAAATTGGGTGTGACTCACTTAAGGACCGCATCGCTTAGCAACAGAAATTCTGATCCCAATTATGGCCTTAAGTCGAGGATTAGTTGTATCCCATTCCCAGTTCACGTGTAGGATCAAACCAATGGCTGCCTTTGGGTCATGGGGGAGGAATTAAGGAGAAAGCATCAATCCTGAAATTTCTAATAAAGGAGAATATAGCTCAGGGTTGACATGATTGCTCCTTGGTGCTCTCTGAACTTGTTTTCTTGCAGACGTTTCGTTACCCAGCTAGGTAATGTCATCAGTGCTATGCCACAACTCCTTTTTTTTGTATGGGGCATTCAATTCCAGATTGGCATGACGCAGGGAAAGTGCCTTTATTGGCCTTACTTGTCTAATTTCTCCTCCGCATGGATTTTCAAAGCCTGGTAGCGCTGTTCCTCTTGTTTAACCCGATTGAGATAATCCTGAGCACACTTCTTCAAGGCCTCTTCATTCTGGAAGAAAAAGAAAAGCTCAACTTGGCTAGAAACCATAGCGCTTAGGTTCATCCTGTGCAAAAAAGCCAACAAATCACATTTTGGAGTTGGGACCGATTGCCCCTTGCATGTTCTATTTCAAGACCTTCAACCAATGATTCAGGAAACAGAACATGGGATCTTACACATAGAAGTGCAGAAGGAAAGAGATATCTTTCCTTCCAGACCTATAACCATATTCACTTTAAAGTTGTAGGAACATTAGAAGTCCTTCCACAATCAGTTAGAAATAGTGTGATTTGTTTTGGCATAGAACCATAGATTATATGGATGAATCCAACTTGGTTTATCCTATAGACTGTATTTTAGTAACTTGTGGATTGATGTGTGATCTAAGCCTATCCGTTTTATGTTATCTCATCTTGATTCTCCTCTACCATAGATAGAGGTTCTGAGGTAGAGTTGTTTCTCATTGCCCATCCCCTGGTTGATACGGCAGAAGAAGCAAACAAGCAAAGCCAACTTTTTAGCACTGAGCCACAATTCCTCTCCTGCAGATCTCCCAAAAACGGCACATTTTTTGCGAAAATGGACCCGTTTTTTTTTTCCAAAAAAAAGGGGGGGGCATGAATAGCCTTTAGGAGGCTTGTAGAGTGCTCGGGGTGGGGGGGGCCGAGCAAAAAATGGGCCCGTCTTTTGTCAAAAAAAGAGAATTAGTAAGCTTAAAGAGTGCTCCTGGGGGCTGGGGGGGGGCAAAATTGAGCAAGAAATGGCCCATTTTTTGCTCATTTCTGCCCTCCCCAGCCTCCAGGAGCTCTCTGAAAGCCTCTTAAAAGCTATACACGGCCATTTTTGTGAAGGCGTGGGGATCCAGGAGGCAAAAAAATGCTGTATTCAGTGTATAAGAGGCACCTAGATTTTCAGCCTCTTTTTTGAGGCTTTTTTTACACTCCGAAAAATACGATAGTATTTGTTTATATGGGGCCATAAGAGACAATTTGAAGTCTGGCCATAGCTTAGACTTGTTGAACTGTATGCAAGAGTTGGTTTGGCCTCTGTAACTTTGCAGCTTCTGTAGAATATAAACCTGTGTATCTCCCTACACCAGTTATGGCGAACCTTTTCAGCACCGAGTGTCCAAACCAGAAAGCGCGTGCATGTCAGCATGCACCGGACTGCCAGAAACCCGAAGACCAGCTGGCCAGCCCGTGCATGCCTGTTTCTTTGGCTGTTTTTGTCCCAAAAAACGAGTTGAAAAACAGCATGAAAACAGCCCGAAAAATGGCCTGAAAACAGCCTGGTTTTGGGCCATTTTTCAGGCCGTTTTCAAGTGCCTTGAAGACCATCTGACTGGCGACGACATGTGTGCTGACAGAGAGGTCTCTGTATGCCACTTCTGGCACATGTGCCATAGGTTCGACATCACGGCTCTACACTGTAATGACTTCCTTCTATGAATATTGCTAGGAATATGCTGACTTCTGCTGTGTGGTATTGTATATAAAGAAGTTTCTTATATATAATTGAATCCTGCTGAGGTTCATTTACTAGTGTGTGCTTGCTGGATGAGCTGCTGCAACAAAACTCTTGACAATTTAAGATCTCTGGTGCTGCAACCAACACACTGGGAGCCCTTAAAGCGTGCATCCCTGGCCTTCAGTGAAGGGAAACCCATAGCAAAAATAGAGAGACTTTTTTTCAAATAAAGAAAGGACCTTCTTGAAACCTTCCAGGACTCCCTTCAGGTTCTCGTATCTCCTGAACAAATCGGACAGAGACCTCTCCACCGAATTCAGGTCAGACAAGGCTTGTTCCTTCTCCATCGTCAGCTGCTGGAGACTCTTCTGGGATGTCATGTTGGTCCTCTGCTCATCCTCTGTGAATTCAAAGGCAAAAGGGAATGATAACTCTGCTCCAACAGGCCTTTAGGCAGGAGACATTAAGCAGAGCAGAAGACAGCAATCTTGTTCATCTTCAGGAGGCACTTTCCTTTATAGGTTGCAGGGAACATACAGGGAGTATGTGTGTGTGTGTGGGGGGGGAGTACGGGCGTACTGATGCCTGCCAGGAGCACTGGGTACCGTTCTGCTACGGTGCTCTGGAGGGTCCACCCACCTGCCCATGCTCCTTACCAGTATTTGACCTCTTTGGGGCTTCTGCCCACAGAGAGTATGGCGCCTGCATGTCGCTCCCCCAAGCAGCTGAAGCATCGCGGAGCATTGCAGGTGGTAAGCAGGCATGAGCATGCTGCATGCTGTGTGCGTGCATGCTGCATGCGTTCGTGTGGTGGACGCCAGGCCCTGTTGCACTGTACCAGTTGCAACGAGATCTGGAACCCACCACTGGTGTGTGTATACACACCCATACATATATACATACAATAAATCTTCAACTATATATGGAAGCACACATGGGGGAGAAGGGGGGAGGGGGAGAGAGAGAGATGCCCTCACATGGCCTCCCTTATATAGATAGCTTCTTAAAGTGGCAGTAACCCTGCTGACTCATTCTCATTTCATCATCTCGATTTACAGCCTTACAGCAGCTTGTCAGTTATTAAATCATCATTACTTTAATAGAACGTGATGCCACTAGAGGGGGTAGAATCAATATTTTTTATCTATATTTTCCTATTGAGAGCTTTTGGGGTTTTTAAGAGGCAAAACATCTGTTTAAAACTAGCCTTCCAAAATGTGGGTATTCTCCAGGTGTGTGGACTTCAACTTCCCCTTTGTAGATCTACATGGCCATTGCTGAGAATTCTGAAAGGGAAAATCCATCACATCTGGTGGCTGTGCTGGAAAAGAGAAGGGTTTTATCCAGCAAACCACATGGGGGGGAAAAAAAACCTCCTCCCTTTTTACAACCATGTAGTCCCTTAATTCAAGGCAGAGTCAGGGTGAGTGGATGGAGCTGACTATTTACCAGCCGGATGCCCTTCCTGACACCATGCGGAGTTTGCAGTAGATATTTTTTTTCTTTGTACCCTACCTAAGGGAGAAATATCCGCCACTATCTAGAATCGAACTCTCAACCTTCCAAGTGGGAGTTGAGCATCTTCACCATTAGGCCACCATGCTGCTCAATCAATCAAACCACCCTCAAAACAGAAAAAAAAATCAGGTTGCTTGTTTAGATAATTTCAGATTCTAAGGAATGCAGTTCTTTATAAGACCTGGTCTTATAAATTTTGGGGTAGCCAAAATAGGCACCAGAGATGTGCAGAAGTGGAGAAAATGACCATGGAATTAAAAGAAAGAGAAGAATTGGATTTCTATAAAATATGGAATAGAATTTATAAGTGGCTAGAAAACAGAAGCCAAAAAGAGGAAATAGAAGTCTGTCTTTGTGTTTTTTTCTAAACTAGTATTGAATAAAAATTAACCAAAGCTTACTAATTACTATCAAACTTAAAATGTTGACCTCAATGTAAATATAATGGTGATGTGAACAATTAATATTATTTCAAGTGTTAGTACAACTGTTATTACACTATTACAGAAGTTAAAATCGATAGGAAGGCAATGGAGAATGGAGAATTACAAAGGCTAAACATGAATGCGGATACAGAAGGCTGTATAACTATTTTGTATTGTCGTGTTTGTCTTGTTTTTCCTTTGTTGTTTGTGTGTCTTTTTTTCTGTTTTTAAAGGCAAAAATGTTTAATAAAAACTATATATATATAAAAACAAAATAAGCACCAGGGCTTATTTTTGGGATAGGTCTTATTCTTTTTGCAGCTGCAATAGAGCAGCAGGTGAGGCAGGGGCTGCAGGACAAAATGAGGTGGTGAGTGGGTGGAGGATGAAGCTTCTTCTCCTTGCTTGCCATCACAACAGAGCAGGAGGCTGAGCGATGGACCAGTTCCAAGACACGGGGCAGGTGGGGGGGGGATGCCTCAGCCACTAACTCCACTTCCTCCACCAGTATCAGGGCTCTGCAAGCCAGGTGGCCAAGGATACAGTTGGGGTTTTGTCCTCCACCCTCCCACCACCTCGTTTCATGGCTGCAGCACCCACCCCACCCTTCTTGTGTCGGCAGCAATCAGACAGAATGGCCAGCTGCAGAGGCTCTGAAGTAGGGCTTATTTCAGGGATAGGGCTTATATTCGGCACAGGCATGGAAAAATCGGGCTCGGGCTTATTTTCAGGGTAGGTCCCATTTTGGGGAAAACACGGTAGTTGCAGGATTCTATCCATTTTCTGCGCATTATGGAAATTAGAGAAGACACTCTACAAGCACAAGAGGAAGTTCTAAAAACATCTATTGGGCCGAAAGTTGGCAGGCTGGCATGAACCTGAAGATGCTGGCTTCCTTATTTGTTCTTTCCAGTAATTTGTAGCTGTGAATAACCAGCATTGATCAGTGGCTTACCTATCATCTGTGCAATTGTCTTCTCATATTCAGCCACAATCTTCCTAAAGAGGAAACAGCAGTAAAGATATGAGTCATAGAGATTGGATTTAGATTGGATTTATTACATTTATATGCCGCCCTTTTCCCCGAAGGGGACTCAGAGATGCCATTAATTTTCTCCTCCTACAAACCCAAATGCATTTGACATTCTATCTTTTCCAGCATTTTTTTTCCAGTATATTCCCACTTAGGCAAGCTGTTTTACCAGAGGTGAAATCTAGCAGGTTCTGGAGAACCGGTAGTGGAAATATTGAATAGTTCGGAGAATCTGCAAATGCCACCTCTGGCTGGCCCCAGAGTGAGGTGGGAATGGAGATTTTGCAGTATCCTTCAATATATCATCAATAGCAATAACTATAGCTATTGCTATATTTGATTTAAGGTGAAGGAAATGATTCAACTACAATGTATTCTCGTGTTCCATCTATCTATCTCAATAGCACTTTGTTTTGCAATAGGACTTAAGACTTATACCCTGCTTCACAGTGCTTTACAGTCCTCTCTAAACCGTTTACAGAGTCAGTCTAATGTCCCCCAACAATCTGGGTCCTCATTTTACACACCTCAGAAGGATGGAAGGTTGAGTCAACCTTGAGTCTGGTGAGATTCGAATGGCCAAACTACTGGCAGACGGCAGTCAGCAGAAGTAGCAAGCAGTACTGCATTCTAACTACTGTGCCATTGTGGCTTGGTTAATAGTCTCTATTAACTCAGTTAATAAATGAGTCTTCCAATCTACATGAGGTTTCCATAGTAATCTGTGGCTGCACAGTTGTAAACCATCTGGAACTATATGGAGTTAGCCAGAGTTGCTGAATTGTTTTACCTCATTTCCAAAACTTCCTGTCGACTTCCTTCGTATTTTTTCTTCCATTCATTGGCTTCAATTTCCTTAGATATAATCTAAAAATATGAATATAAAATGCATCTATTACTTTTGGGGAAAATGTGGGGAAAGCTATTGAGAGGAGGGAGGGAGGAGGAGATACCATATTGTGATGCAGGGATATTTCAGTTCTGTCACCTGCAAATACACCTGTGGATTCTGCCTGAGGTTTAGTTGGATATTCTTTTCTTTAAATATTTTTTTTAGTTTTCAACCTATAAACATTTAATCTTTCCTTAAACAGTATGTTGTCTGGGTACAAATATGTACAAACAGCTTTCAACATTTACAACATCCTTCACATTAATATTAATTCTCTAATCTTAAAATTGTAGTATATTAAGTAATTGAATATTATTAACCTATTCATTTTCCTATTAACATATCTTCTAATAAAAATACAATAACAACATTAAACATAATTATTTTCCTCATCATAATACTAATAGTTATCATCTTGTTTATACCTCTATCTTAGCATATTTTCTCTTCTTCCTTAGTCTTCTTCCCTTATTTCCAATTCCTTTTTTCCCTCTAACAATTGATAAAATACTCTCCATTTCATATAATATTCAGTTTGTTCTTTCTCCTTAATTATTAATGTTAATCTATTCATTTCTGCACATTCTAATATTTTCTTGATCACCTTCTCATCAATAGGAATCTCTTCACTTTTCTAATGTTGTGCAAACACAATTCTAGCTGCAGTTAATACATGAATAATTAAATAGGTATTCTCTTTATTATAAGTTTCAGGTAAAATCCCCAGAAAAAATATTTCTGGCTTTAACCCAATGCGTTGTTTTGTCATCTTCTTCAGCCATGTCTTTATTTATGTCCAATATTTTTTTTGCTTCTACGTATGTCCACCACATATGATAGTAAGATCCAGCTATCTGGTGGCAATTCCAACATATTTGGACATTAAGAGATGCATTTTTTGCCAAAAATGCCAGGCTACCATTTTTTAAAATCTTTCCAGAATATCTAGATATGATGTAATTTATGGGCAGACACACCTACTTAGGGAAGATCTGCAAGATGATGAGATTCCTCCTCTGGTTACCAGAGGTCGTTTCTTAATTAAAAGTATCAGAACATTGTAAGTCATCTCAGGTAAAACTAGAAGATATTGGATAGGCCCAGGCTCCATTACTAT